TATATTTTTTTTTGTACTATATTGCTGCATCCGCGCTGTTTAAAGTGCCTTAGATTTTGTGTTATTTATTTATCTACTTTATATTTCATTTGGATTTTGTGGCATTCATGTGGACGGCAAAGTAAGAATTTCATTGTACAGGGAAACACGTTTCCTAACTGTGTATATGACAAAATAAACACTTTGAACTTGAACTTTGAAAAGTTAACTTCCTGTGCTGTGCTATAACAGCAAATGTGGTGACTTGTTCATTTTCCTCGTGGTTCCTCTCTTGGCCTTCATGTAGAGGCCCTCCACCAGTGACGCTGTCTGCGCACCCGCAGACAGTGGTGAGGATGGTGGTACCTCTACACAAGGCTTTCCCTGAGGAATGTTAGCCACTCCTGGCTGTCACCCATCCTTACCACTCACTTTAAAACTGGGCTGTTTTTAAGCGAGTCTGGCCTGACATCAGGGAAGGGTGTTGCCTTCTGTAGAAAAGGAACATGGTGCTTTATTTGTTAAAGCTACTCTACCTCATTTCTTTTCAGCGGTTAGCCGCTGATAACTACTCTTTGCCCCTCCCATCATGTCCTGTTTCCTAGCTATGACATAAAATACAGATGCCTGGTTGGACAAACTGTCCTAATGCAGTCTCCAGTTTGAAGCTTGCAAACATGTTAGATTTAGATGCCAACACATCCAGAAGGAAGAACGCCACATCTGAATCAAATCTGAGTCTTTTGGCTGCTTCTAACACTCTCCATCACAAAAAAATAAACTGATGTTAACCCTGGTTTTTGCTCTTTCTTTGTCCCAGTCTCTCTGTGCAAAAGAACACGACTTTTTCTGTCTGGGAGGCACTGTTTCAGACATTTAGCTGCAGAGAGCTCCTCCACGCCTGGCTATTTGAAATGACTACTCGCAGTTCAAGAAAAACGCTTATCATAACCTTTGCTAGGTGGCAGACGGGGCTCATTTACAGATCTTATTATGACAGGGTAGAGAAACTGGAATAACAGAAGAGCTGTAGGCAGCAGAGTGTCGTGGAGGAGGGGCAGAATAGCTAAGAGACACTACGTCCTGTATGTCCTGTCTTTGCTGTATCATTTGATTTATGTGTGTAAAACCATAATTAAACCTATATTTATAAAGCAGGCCTTGTTCCATCTACAGCTCACAAGTCAGTTCATCTTAATATAGAAGGCAGGGTTTTAAATCCCCTCCAGTTAAGTGTCAACAGTTCTGAAAATATCAGTAAAGATACTTAGAAAAGATTTTCCAGTGAGATAAAAATGTCTTAAGTAATGCACACACACAAAAGTCAGCATGGAAAAACTAACATTTGAATTTATCACCCAGATGTTAAATTTGAAGTGCATCCACAAAAAATGAACTGGCAGAGATGGTGAAGGTAAATCATTGGGCATACTCTTTCATTTTCTGAATAAGAAAAGACAACAGAACTAGTCATAAAAGAAAACCTCTGAAGCACGCAACAAGGGTTTAAAAAAGAGAAAAAAAGGTATGTTTCTCGTGGTAATGTTAAGGGTTACTTTCATGGGTTGTGTAAACAAATTCAGGAATATATAATGTTATATTTAGACCTCTCCGTGCACTTTAGTCGTATCAATACAACACCAGAGAGTGAGTGAAAGTTAGCATTTGGACACAGAAATTGAGAAGTTAAAACCTTCTACCACTGGTTTTTGAGCCTTGAAATTAACTCTCAGCTCATATGGAAATTCTGCACTCTATCTGTGGACAGTTTCAGCGAGTCAGAGGTTAAACCTCCAACCATGAATCTAGAGTTTCTGAAAAGAAACTACTTTCTTTACACAGATCAAGAGTTACAATTACTGGTGCATTTAATGCATCACATTTAATGCTGCAGCTGGTAAAGGTGGAGCTCATGTTAACCATTTTATAAGCTTATAATCTGAATTAATGGCCAACTTGTGTTTCCCACCAAGCATCACTAAAGTCTTATGATCATAGGGGCACTGGATTTTGATTTATTAATCTGCTTCTGAAAAGTAACTAAAGTTATCAAATACATGTAGTGAAGTAAAAAGTACATTTGCCACTGAAACGTAGTGAGTCAAGAATGAAGTAGCAGAAAACGGAAATACTCAAGTAAAGTAGAGTAGCACTACTTGGGAAAATGAACTTGGTTACTTTCCAACTGGTTCAGTGCATCTTTATAATAAATAGCTTTAGGGAAAGTATTTTGGGGATCGTTATCTAAAACAAGCTGTGCACTTGTTTAAACACATAATTACTTAATTTTCTAAACAAATATATAAATATCTAGTTTTTTTAAATACCAGATTTTCGTACATATTAAGTAGAGCTGCAAACGATTAATCGGTTAGCAGGTGAAATGATTCGGATAAACCAAAAAGTGAAAATCTCTCACTGACTTTTAGGCTACATTTAAAAACACTTCTTAGTGAGCCAGAACTGCTGTGGAGTAAACTGTGGAGTAAACTGTGGAGTCTTTGCGGGCTTCCATACAGAGCTCAGCACGTCCTCCCTCCTCTCAGATAATCGGTGCAACCCAGCTATATCTTCATGGTCCAGAAATAGTTTGGTGCGGCGAGGCTCGGTACCACTCTTGCATAACTGTACAATTACAGTGCGCTGCTGCTGTGTCCCACAAAAACTCCGGCTTTTAAGGGATTATCGTTTAGGAGAACGAAATGTACCGTCTGCCCCACTGACGTACAGCGTCTCTTCACCCATCATAAAATCTGTATTCTCACCTTCGGTTCCCAAAAATGGACAAAACGTGACTTGCAGCCAAACATAATGTTTTAAAGGTGCACGCTACAGCCCAGCACGCCGTCAATACATACAAACACGCCTTGAGGTTTAATGGTGGGTAAGTCTGGGCAAAAGATAATTTAAGACAGTAAGGGAGCATCACCTGACTATCACAACACCACACATGCAGCGTGAGATGTGATAATTCTACAGTACTCACCGTGGTTGAACATTGCGGAGCGGAACCGGTTGCTGCTGGACGAATTTTCCATCTCTCAAAGTTTCACTTAGCACCAAGAGCTGCGACCTCCTCCTTCACCGTCTTGTTCTTTTTCTCCTGCGGTATTTCCTTAATTTCCTCTCTCAACGTGGACAAACCAGCGTAGAACTGACAGTCTTGTGTGTTGTGTTTGGCCGGACAAACCCGTCCCTCCTGTATGTGGGGTGTGTGGGTGAGTGTTTGGCCGCAGCAGCAACGACGACGATCACCCGCCGCCCGCCTGCCTGCCAGGCCGGTGACGTCATAAATCACCAGCAGCTGCACAGACGAGCTGGAATGAAAACAATCGCACGTGGATACGATGGGAGAAGGGTCACGTGCACAAAGCTAGTAACAGCGATAGGCAGCGTGAGAGGGACAGTACACAAAAAAAAAAACAATAGAGTTGTATTTCAGTGTTCTAGGAATACTACGGAATGTAACTAATTGTACTTTACCTGAGTATTTTCCGATTCATGACACTCTCACTACATTTCAGAGGGAAATATTGAGCTTTTTACTCCATAACATTCATCTGACTTGTTATATATGTATTTGGTCTTTGTATTTGAGTTTATTCTTTGCATTCAGCTTTATACTCCATTACATTTCAGGAAAAATATTGTACTTTTTGCTCTACTACACTTATTTGACATTTCTACGTACTTTACAAATACATATTTTAGGATAGAAAACATTTGAAGCACTTCTAAAAAGTGATGTTTATACCTTACAGAAACCACAAATAGGCTAACAGCTGAAATGGTTTGTCATTGACAGAAATAATTTGGAAACAATTTTGACAGTACTGATTCTACCATTTATTTGTTTTGCTTTGTATACAACTGTCCTGATTTTTCATTTAACATGCACCACTTTGTTTTGTTTATCTAGTATCTTTAATGTTGTGTCATTATGGTTATGTTTTCAATTGTGACCTGTAACCTGTCAAGAAACTGAAAGTGAAAACTTTAAATATTGTAAAATATTGTACATAAACCCTTACAAATAAAATAAACATTTGCACACACACACACACATATCTAGTCATTTTGCTTACACAGTTAACAGCAATCAAATAACAAAATAATTATATTAATATAGGCAATTTGTAATTGTACTTTTTACATTGTAATAATTGTGCTTTATAATTTAGTAAAGAAATTCTCTGGATACCACTAGTATTATACAGTATATGTAATACTAAAAAGACTGACAGTGGTGCACTGTATACACATAAGGTTGGGAAATGACCAGCTCATTAATTATACTTTATGAAATTCTTACTTTTTGTCACTAGGAAAATAAAGAGCAGAGACAGACAGTGACATCTGGTGGTAAATTTGTAAATATATTTCTAACAGGTTCATTCATTCATTCATTCATTTTCTACCGCTTAGTCCCTGTTGTAGCCTTTTTTGGCACTTTTTGTCATTCACAATGACGAATAATCACTTTGAGTCTCATGTTTGTTTTAGGAGCAAGTTTTATTTTTAGCTGTGACTAAAGGAAAAAAAAAAAGTCTAAATGTCCATGTTCAGGATTAAAGTGCAGAATTGTTTTCACAGCTTGTGTAAAAAATTAAATAGGACAAAAAGGAAATATTAAAATATCAAAACTGACAATGGGAGATATAAATATGATACAGAACAAGATGAAACCTCATACAACATAGTATCAGCAACGATATTCAATCCACTTGAATCAGGCTTGCACTTACGATACATAAAAATAAAATCAGTTCACGTTTTTCGAGTCGTTGGCAAGGCTAGCTTACAACAAAGGCACAGCATTGTTCAGAGGTAACGATCCTTTGCAAAGAAGTGATGCGGACACATTCTCAGTGACACCCAACACGTCCTCACAGACACGTCTAACATGCTTGACATGGCTCAGACAGGACTGGAGAAAGAAACATGGCAAAGCCACTCGTGTACAGTACATGCCCACGGACAAACACATCAACCAGGAGAGGCTTGTTTCACAGAAGCGCATTTTGTATCATCAGACTGAAGGTTACATGCTCTTTGAGTCTGTTACTGTTGAGGAGCACTACTTTACTATTAATGAATTAACTGATTTGTGAAGCTCCAGAAAATTACGGACCTGAGCCAAAAGAGTATGATGAGGAGGTGAGCGGTGAGACATACTAGTTTAAGTGCTCTATTATCAGAAAGACCGGCAGCAGTTGGAGCCTCTGTGGGCATCAAGGATGAAACCAAGCAGTCAGAAACAACATATACATCTTTCACAAAGGACCAGTCTGTAGGCAGCAGCCAGAGCTGGGACTTCTCATCCTCTTGGTAGCAAAGACTGGACAACGTTGTCTCTTAGGAATTATTCAACTACAACAAATCAAGGAACTTTAAGAATTTAGGAGACTTTTGCTTGAAAATGAAACTCTAGTCAATATTGTTACATACAATAAGATCACAGAGGGAACAAACAGGCTTCTGCAAAGGCTGTATGTAGAAGTTGAACCATGCACAAAACTACATCAAGATAATCAGAAAGGTCACTCATTGTTACACGGCCCAGTCTGCTCTCAGGAGGATCAGCTTCCCAGATTGAAAGGCTCTATCAGTGTCTTGCATTCATCGATCAACCTGAACTGACATAAGTTCCTTATCACAAGTAGCTCAAGAGAGGAAATTAACAAACACTGCTTCAAACAGCCGTTTGGTAATATAGTGCAAAGTAAAGTATTCAAATCTATACAAAAAGATTTAAGCAGCTATAAAAATCAGATGTTGTGGGGTTTTTTTTTTCCTCATTCCCATTTTAGCCTGGCTTTCTCTGGTGACTTCTTTGTCTTGATTTCTTATTTAAAATCACAATATTTCGAGACAAAATAGAAGCTGAACAGGCCTAGCTAGTATACCATGCAGCTTGTGAGAAGAACAGAAGGAAATCAAAAAAAGAACTGGAGCCAGAAATCTTTTGTTAGAAGGTGCTTGAGAAAATTCAGACAGTGGAGATTATTTTTGATGAGTGCGAGTATGTATGCAATGCACGCAAACATATGTTATGACAAACATGTATATACAGTGATATTTACAGCTTGATTTACAGGTAAACAAACAGTGGGTCATCCACAGGAGGTATATGGACAGACAGGTGACATGATGAGTACCTGGTGATATTATTCCCACACCTGAACTATTATACAGTACATGAGATGAGTGTGAATAATTTGATTGATTGCCTTCGAAATTCTCATATCACATATAATTTCGAGTTGATCACAATATGTAGATTGAGTTCAGCAACTTTAAAAGGGGAACTGACCCTTTAAAACAATTTGATTAGATTAGATAGTCCAGTATTTTGATTACTTTTACTCCAGCACATGTGTACAAGCAACTCCAAAAAGACCACTCAAATGTTAAGACGTACTTTTTGGATGGAGGGAAATGATCGAATGTAACATTTACTGAGTTTAAACTGAGTGTTGGAGATGTTTATGGTGACAAGATTCCTCATATCTCAAATGCTAAAAGTCCCTAACCTGCCACAGTGCTGACAATGTACAAAATATTAGCACAAAAAAAAAAAAAAAAAAAACCTTCAGCTGTGCCCTGTAACCGCAGTCAGACTGCTACTCTCCTTAATTTCAACTAGTCAGCCAATAAAAATATGGCAATGTAGCATACGTATATAAAATATGTCTGTACATTTACACTATTTAAAACATTTACAATGTCGCCTGTACACTGGTACAGGTATGTGTTTGAATGTATAAGATACCACGTCAATATGAACAAGGAACACTAACAGCTCTTCAAATTTGGAGACAATGTACCATATTTATGCTAAAGAGGTGTACCTCAATGTTAAGTCAGTGCTACACAATATATGAAGGAGAGGGGCAGCGGCACAGACACATCACCTCCCTCTGACCCCAGAGGGCCTGGCAGCATTATTTACAGCCATGCACTCTTTAGTGAGCTATTTAAAGCTTGGAAGGTTTTGTTTGACTTGCACAAGTGGACAGCAAGTTGATCTCAGTCTTTGCATCTTAAGCGGCAGACGGTCATTTTTCATAACTTCAGTTGTGAGATCCAAAAAATCAAAATCAACAACAGAAAACATCTGCGAACACATACTGCACAATGTACTCTGTAGAGGCTGAAGGTTTGCTTTACTGTATGCCTTGTTTGTTGGACTACTTTATCCATGTGAATATACATACTACAGTAGGTAGGTACACTAAGCATTCTTGACTGGTAGGACCACTCATGTTAAATCTGCACGAGCTGAATCATGATTTTAAAGTTAGGGTTGAATGCATATGACATGTTCCAGTTTAGCTGCAGGTGCAGCAGAATCAAGTTATCACACTTAATGTCTTGATTTGGATTTGAATGTGTGCATCTTGCACAAGTGGCTTTTTCATATCCACATTTCACCCCTGAGTCTGTTCATTAAGCCTGAACCAACCTGAGCCCGCTGCATCTGTTTCAAACATGGAGGGGTATTCACACAACTCCTCCAGCCACTGCATCACCCTAAGGCGGTCACTACCATTGTGGGGATAACTTAGATTTCCCACTTCTCCTGCAGTGTTTAGTCCTGCTCTAGCTGTTCAGGATGGGTGTGCAGACCGTTTTCAGGGCGGGTGATGCTGTGGTTCTCCCAAAAGGCTTTGTGCAGCTGGTCCAGTTCAGACACCAGGGGCAGACTGATGTCCAAGTGCATCTTCAGGTTCTCCAGCCACTCTTCCAGTTTGGAGAAAGCAGGGCTAAAAATGACATATATGGATTTTTCATTAATATACCTTTTTCTAGGTTTTTTGACATAATTAATGGGACAGTTCACTTGGAAACAATAAAACCTCTTAACCAAAATTCAAACCATCTTGTCATGGCTACTGCCACCATGAAGGCATTAAAAAAAAATCAATTTTAAAAAATGTGATAACCACAAACTAATGCCACCTAGCATACTATAATGGGTTGAGCTACAGCAAGCAGATGCAAGAAACCCAGTAAAACTCAGTAAATTAAAATGAATTTTTATGCTGGGTGAACTGTCCCTTTAGGCAACATTACAGTGTGAATTTGTTGTAGACGTCTGACCGTTTGTCTGCATCAAGATCACAGCACACAGCAGCCATGGGGAAGAAGGCAGCGGGACAATCTGGAGGACAGTAGTGCTCCAAGAAACCAGACACATTCAGCCCAAAGTCTGTTGCCCTGGGGAGGTAGTCTGGGTCTGCGTTCACTCTGCCAATTATCTGGAGGGAGCAGAAAAACCAAAGACACAGCAAGCAGAGTTAAAGATGGAAGTGTGAGACGCCCCTGTCAGAGCAAAGGGAATCTTCCTGATCTGCTGAAAACCAGTAAACCCTCCAAACCGAAGCCTGCCTGTCGGAAGCCACATGAAGGCAGCGTTTTGTTTTCTGCTCTCTCTAATCCCTGCACTTTTTTGGGCTAATGGCGTCCATCTGGGGAAGTCGTATTCTGGGGTTTCTGAGTGAAACTGTTGAGTCCAAATTATGTGGATGGTGTGTGGCCAGGCTCTAGATTTTCTTTTGGAAAGTAAATTTCTTTTATTTATCAGGGCTCTGGAAAGCCCCTCCAGTAAAATCTTTTCCCCATGAAAATGAAAAGGATACTGTATTTTACAAACATTAGCAGAACTTCAAAGTTTGACAAATAAGAACTTATCCATTTGGCAAATCTGGTAAATTAATACAGTGAAGTTATTTGAGAAATCCTTTTAATTTTACTAATCAAACAATAACTTCTATGAACTCCTAGCTGTCTGACTAGCCTTTTTGATTACAGAGTGGAGAGTTCCATACCTCACAAAGCATGATACCAAAGGAAAAGATATCAACTCTCTCATCGTAGCTCTTCCCTGGGAAACAAAAAAGACAAAACTAGGATGTCAAGAAGATGTGAACAGATGTAAGTGAATACATTTCTATTACATTATTATAAAGCAAAAACAAATAAGTAAAGCAAGCACACAACTGTCCCTGTAGCTCATACCATGGATCATCTCAGGAGCCATCCAGTAGGGGTTTCCCACCACAGTGTACCTCTTCCTGCGGTCAGGCCTCTTCAGACCTGACAGTTTACCCTGTGACAACTTCTCCTCATGCTGGTCGTCCACCATGAGCCGAGCCAGCCCGAAGTCCGCCACCACCACTGTGTTATTCTGCATGAAGAAGATTAAACATTACATAAAATGCTGCAATCATACATTCTGCCTGTTACTACAAGAAAGAGATAAAGGAGGAGAAAGCTTTGTGATAAGTGTTCAAGCAGTTTTAAGCTCATTTAGAAGGTTTGGAATTCAACTCCAGGCCTTTAATATAGTGTAGAAGAACTTCAGATCCGAGCTCTACAATACAAACCTTTTGTTTTCTTGTCAGACATGTACAATGCTCTTTTTGTTTGAGTAGGACAAGCTAGAAGCTTCCACTCTGTTATTTGGGTGTTTTTGTGTTTTTTTAAGTGTCCCAGCAAATGGCAGTGCACTATGTTAAATCCTCCAAGAAAACATGATGTATATGCACAGGTTTATCTACACACACACATACAACACACATTTTCTTACCTCTCGGACTAGACAGTTGTGTGAGTTCAGGTCCCGGTGGATTATGTTCATGGAATGCAGATATGACTAAAAGGCAAAAAGAAAGGTGGGAATAATAACAAATAAGCAGAAAAAATAGAAGATTTTAGTGGTACTATAAAACCCAAAACAAGTGGAACAATCCAGGCTTGTTTCAAGTAGTTGGTGCTATAAATACAATGACCCATTCATGCAAAACAGTCATCACTGTATTCATATGATGGGAAAATATTAAGAACCCATGTTCTAATCCTAAAGGAATTCTCACTCCACAGAGTGGGATGAAAGAGAGCGTGCACATTATTATCAGAAGTGTTGTAGCTCACTAATATGACCACTAAAGGGAGACAGCAGCAAAGTTAACGAGAGATGATGTGCCTTCCTTTACTGCTGTATTCATCAAGACCTTTCATTTCTTTGGTACAAAACTAGTATTTTAGCACCTTAAACTACTATAATTGTATACATTTTTCTCTCTTTGGACTCACCATCCCAGCAGCTATGTCCTTGGCAAAACTGACTCGCTGGTTCCAGGGATAGTTGCTGTCCTGTGAGCAAAAATCACAATCAAATGTCTTAGTACAACTAGAATTACTGCTTTGCAGTTGGATGCCTCCACCAACCAGTCAAGTTCAAGACAATGAGACGGACATGAGTTCACTGTGACCTCGTCCTTTGATCACCAAAATCGACTCAGTTCATTCATAAATCCAGGTGTACATTTGTGCCAAATTTGAAGACATTGTTCACAAAAATGAGACGGATGTGAAGTTACTGAGACCTTGACCTTTGACCACCAAGTCAAAGTGGATGTTTGTGCCAACTTAGAAGAAATTCCCTCAAGGCATTCC